AAAATGGAGCATCTGTCCCCAGTGACAGGACAACTGGAGTAGTAAATGCCAAACCCACCAGTAACTGGGTCTTGACTGCTGCTAGCTTGGATACCTGGATCCCCCACCTGGTCCTAACAAAGTGATTTTTGAGTCCTTGACGTACAATCATTTGTTTATAGTCTCCATTGGAAGTTACAACAGTATTGAAAATGTAGCTTATGATCGTTACATTACACATTCCCATGGTCACGTGATCAAAATTCAGACCCTTGGCAATAAAACAGAAGTTTTGGGCATGTCTTTAGTAGCATTTTTCAACCTTGGGAACTTCAAGATGCATAGACTACAACTCCCAGCATTCTCCTGTGTATTCCGTTTCCATTTACCTTGTTGGCAAGCAGCATATCCCTGATTTCTGTCAGATCCTCCTTGGTGAACACAAAGCCCACATTTCCACGGATATGAGGCAGCAGCCTAAAAAATACAGCCAGTGTTATTTTGTCATCGTTCCAGCAAGCACCTTTAAAAGAATAATGTGCGCTAGCAACTTGCGGAACAGAGAAGTTTGGACTGATTTACTAGCTCAGAAAAGCAACTTCGTTTGGCTAATAAGACCAGAGTCAAAAGGATGGCAGGTCTGTTGCTAAATTCTTGTTTTGCAATAAAGATGGCATGAAGTCAACAAAAGCTGGCCATACAGGCTGACAGAAAGCGTCTGGGTTGGTGGCGTTTCATAGAACTGAAACCCAGAATTCTAAGACAAATCAAGTTTGTATCTGGACCAAACCACACACCATCCAAAACTACTTTGTGAGCAGAAAGCTAATGGAAGATATTTTTTTTAATTCCAAAAGCATACCTAATACTCCCTCCTCTGATTTTCTTCACAACCCTGTGGGATAGTTCAAAGCCACCCAGCCAGCTTACATGCCTAGGGCAGACTAGAATCAAATCTCCCAGCATCTTGACTTTTAAATTTTTTTCCAGGCTCGTTGTGTTCATTTTAGAAAAAGAAAGCAAAGAGCTGATGGGGCCCTGTCAACCACCAACTCTTATTCTCTGACACAAGAAGGAAGAATTCTCTAAAATGGTGGTTCTCAACCTGTGATCCACAGACTCTGTGTATGTGATGTGATCATAAGGGGGCCACAAAGACTCCATGCAGTTTAAATCTCAAGCTAAGCCTTGGGGTTCCACGGCCACAAAAGGTATTTAAAAGGGGTGAAGAAAAGGTTGAGAAACACCGCTCTAAAGATTGGGAGAACCCCCGGAGCTTTAGGATACTAACTTTTCCAGAGCAGGGTTGTTTTCCAGATGGCCCCGGATGGCCTTACGCATCATGGTGTTCTTTCCCATGAGAACAACGGCCTTCCCGCGCAGGGACATCCGGATCTGCTGCATCTGCTTGGAGCCAACGTTGTCTGCTCCCACGATGAAACATTTTGGATAATCGTCCAGGAGTTGCTAAAGAAAGGCATAAAACAATGCCTTGGCTGTCGTTCTTCAAACAAGCATTTTATTTTTATTTATACCATTTTATTGTTTATATATACTATATATATATGCATATCATTTTATATATACCATTTTATTTTTATATATACCATATATATATATATATATGTGCATGTGCCACTTTGTTTTATTTTTATATATACCATATATACATGTGTGTCATTTTATATTTTTTTTATTTTACATACCATTTTACCTATATACCCTTTTATTTCTTATTTTCTTTCTTGAACCCTGCGCTACAAATATTCCCATCTCTTTAAGTTTTTTTTCCCTGTTGGCTGGTTATTAGGAAACAATGGAGGAGGGGGAGGGGGCTCCCAAGACCTAGCTGTCCCCGCCGCAGCCTGGCGCTCTGCACATGCTCAGGAGCGCCCCCGCCCCAACGACTTACGATGATCTTGAGGAAGTAGTTGGACTTCCACGTGGCTCGGTCTTCCCTGGGCATCGCGGTGACCCAAGGATCGCGCGACGGGGCGGCGGTTTAAAGACAAGCGGCGTTCTCTGGAGAGGGAGATGAGAAAGAAGGGGAATCAGGGCCGCGCGAGGTAGGCCGCGAAGCCGCCCAGCCACCCGCGCGGCCTACAGCAACGACCTACCTCACGAGGCCTCCGTGGAAGAAAGGGAGTGGCGCCAGTCCCGCCGCCCGCTTTTATACCCAGGACGCCGCGACCAATCAGCGGGCGGCCTCTGCAGGGCCGCGCCTTTTTCGCGACGGATTGGGCGAGCCGTGGAGGAGGAGGCGGAGCAAAGAGGAGGAGCAGGGTCAGGTCCACCCCTCGGGTCTGATAGGCTGGTTGGGACGGTCACTCAAAGGAAGGGTTCGCTGATGTAAATACAGCTCATCCGTCCTTGAGCAGCTTGAAAAAGTTTTTATTATTATTATTTATTATTATTTCAAAGTTTTATTTTTCTTGGAAAAGCCGGGCGTTTTTTTCCTCCACCTAGAAGAGCGGAGCTGCCCTCCTAGACCCACAGCGAGATGGGATGCAAATAAACTGAGCAGATCAATAATAAATAAAACGTCCTCGGGATGAAGCACCAGGTGAAGCCAGAGATGGTGGCAGACTCAGCTCGGGGTCATCTAGTCGGTCCCAAAGGAGCCTTTCTCAAGAGCCAGCTGGACTTTTCTCTAGGGAAGACGCTTCTCATCCCAGAAGCTTCTCCAGAACTAAAGCAGCTTTTGGGATGAGAAGCGAAACGTCTTCAAGGAAAAAACGAGAAAGTCCAGTTGCCTTTTGAAGAAAAAAAAAAAAAAAACACCATTGAGACCGCCGTGACCTGGATGACTGAGAATCTCCATAAATATCTACCTCAGTGTTCTTCAAAACTTGGCAACTTTAAAGGACTTAAAACTCCTTTCAGCCACTTAAGGGAGAATTTTTATAAAATGTTTTATAGATGGCACCTTGATCCACAAAAAATGTCTTATATGTACCCTGACGTGCAACCTAAATGTTGGAGATGTGGTTATAAGGATGCTTCCTATTATCATATTTGGTGGTCATGCAGAGAGATAAAAGCATTTTGGATCAAAATATGGTGGAATATCCAGAGAATTTTTAGAAGGAGGGTAAAATTTACTCCGCAATTATTTTTGTTAGGTATTGTTACAGATTGTGATACAAAGGAGGTTGTTTTGATGTTAAATTTGATTACAGCCGCTAGGCTGTTAGTAGGACAATATTGGAAGAAGGAATCTTTGCCTACATTGCAGGAATGGTTTCTTAAAGTAGCTTATCTGGCGGAAATGGCAAAGATTTCGGCTTTCTTAAAGCAACAAACGCAAGAGAAGTTTCTTGCTGTTTGGGATAAATGGATAAAATTTATACAATTTAGATTGGGTATACAAAAATATTATATAGTTTTTTCATAAGTTTTATTTTCATATATATTATAGATAATCTTTTTATATATATAAATATAAAGTTCTTAATTTAATTTTTATTTTTACTTCTTAAGCCTATATTCTGCTCTGGGAAGCTCAGGGGGGGGGAAGGGAGGGGGGGGTTTTTTGGGAGGGGTGGGGGGTTTTTTTTTTATATATATGTATTGTTTAGTTTTATTTTTTTGTATATGTTGTCTCTTGTTTTGTATTCTTTTTTCTTTTTTGTAAAATTTATAAAACTTTTAATAAAATAAAAAAAAAAAACTCCTTTCAGCCAGCGGTTTATTTGTCAATTCCTTCTAGCATTCTACTAATCCCTAAAATCAGGGGTAGGCAGCCTAGGCTCTTTTATGGTTCGTGGACTTCAACTCCCAGAATTCCTGAGCCAGCATGGGGGAAACTTTGGCCTCTTCATGACTTCTGGACTTCAACTCCCAGAATTCCTGAGCCAGTATGGGGGAAACTTTGGCCTCTTCATGACTTCTGGACTTCCAACTCCCAGAATTCTGAGCTAGCCATGCTGAGGGGAAAGGGAGTTTCCAAGCTGAGCCATGCTGGCTCAGGAATTCTGGGAGTTGAAGTCCACGAGTCATAAAAGAGGCAAGGTTGCCTACCCCTGCCCTAGATCATATGAAGTACCGCTTTATACTGGAGTGGTAACACCATACTTGGGAAACTGCATCCAGTTTTGCCCACTAAACTATGAAAAAAAGAGGTTGAAACTCTAGAAAAAGTGCAGAGAACAGCAATAAAAATGATTAGGGGACTGGAGGGTAAAACATAGGAAGAATCGTTGCAGGAACTGGGTTTGTCTAGTGCAGGGGTAGGCAACCTTGGCTCTTTTATGACTCGTGGACTTCAACTCCCAGAATTCCTGAGCCAGCCATGCTGAGGGGAAAGGGAGAGGTTTCCAAGCTGAGCCAGGCTGGCTCAGGAATTCTGGGAGTTGAAGTCCACAAGTCATAAAAGAGCCAACGTTGCCTACCCCTGGTCTAATGACTTGTCGAACAATGAGAAGGTCTAGGGCTGACACGATACCAGTCTTTCAATATTGGAGGGGCTGTCAGAGAGATGATCAAGCTATTCTCCAAAGCGTAACACAAGAAGTAACGTGTTACCCCTTTAACGGAAGGGCATTCAAGAGAGAGGGAACCTAGAAGTTAAGGACCAAAGGTGTTTTTTCAGGAGGCAACTGGACTTTCTTGTTTTTCTTTAAAGACGTTTCGCTTCTCATCCAAGAAGCTTCTTCAGCTCGGGCTGGATGGTGGAGAATGGAAAAAGCACCTTTGGGACAACCGTGACCTGGATGACTGAGAATCTCCACAGACATCTGGAAGTAAGGAAAAATTTCCTGGCAGTGAAAACAATTAATCAGTAGAACGGCTTTCCTTCTCTCCCTCACTGGAAATTTTCAAGGAGAGACTGGATAGCCACTTGTCTGAAATGGTATAGGGTCTCCTACTAGAGCAGAGGGTTGGACTAGAGGACCTCCAAGGTCCCTTCCCGTCCTGTTATTCTGGTCAAAGACAAGGGAATCCTGGTTGAAGGGGCTGCTCAAAGGGGAAGGGATTATTTTCCAGATTGGGCTGACTTGTGATCACAAATGACACCCGAGTCCATCTCCAAATCTTTATTAGCATCATCACAGGGACTTTTAAGAAGGGGGACAACACATTGCAAAAGGAATACAGAAAATGGAGAGGGGGGAGGGGGGAAGAGAGAGAAATATAATTCCACAGGAAAACCTCCCCTTCGCCTCCTGAGCAGAACAGCTGAAGTTTTCATCAAGACCCACTTCATTTTAAGGCACTTAAAGAGTAATGGTTAAAAAAAAAAAATAGAGCGTGAAGCACAGGATTTATTTTAAAACAAATTGCCTATAATGCCAAAAGCTACAGTAGCAGAGGACAGTCCACCCCCCCACAAAAGATGGGGATTTTTAAAAAAAGCACAGAAAATGAGAGAAAAAGGCACATTTTTGTCTTAACGCAGACAGCCAATCAAATCATTCAATGGGCCTTCTCATGTTGAAAGCAAGATCAAACCGCCGGGATTTTGAAAGAGCTTCTTTCCAAGTTCAGGCTTTGAGAAAAATAAAGTCAAAGGAGTCCCTGCGGATTTTACTTTGCTAGTTGTTGCCGACTCTAAGGGGCGCTGCTCATCTCCGTTTCAAGGCCGCGGAGCCCAGCGCTGTCCAAAGACATCCCCCCCCCCCGGTCATTTGGTCAGCGTGATGTCACGGAGCCTGGTTACCCTTCACACTGAAGTGGTATCTAGTTATCTACTCACACTTGCTTGCTTTCGAACTGCTAGGTGGGCAGGAGCTGAGCTGAGTGAGGACGGGAGCTCACCCAGTCTCATGATACTGGGTCTCAAACCTGGGCTGCCAGCTTTTCAGCTGAAAAACCCAGCATCTTAACCATGGAATACCGCACTGCTTCTCAGGCTTTGAAAAATCTCTCCCTTCAAAAAAATGCTCGGAGAGTCCAGGCAAAAATGCATTGGGCAGGACATGTCTTCAAAGAGCAACCGATTTCCAAAAAAGGTTGGAGAGGACATCTCCAGTTTGATCCCAGAAGGAGACCCCAAGCAGTCCAGGTTTTTGCTTCTCCCGCCATCAGCCTGGGACCCCAAGCCAGTGGGCAAAAGAAAGGGGGAAAAAATCTAGCCACCAAAGGGTAAAATTTATGTGGCAAGCCACACCCCAAGAGCAACATGTGAAACAGGCACATAGTTTATCATGTGTGCTTTTGAAGTTAACTTAAGGCTCTTTGAAAAATCCAGGAGAAAGCAGACAGATTTGTCTTTCTCTCATCTTTGTACAAGTTTTCCTTTTACAAAATCCGTTCCAGTTGAATCCTGATCCTTACAAAACTACTTAATAAGCAAAAATAGAGGGGGGGGGGAGGAAAATATACATACACTCCTAACAGATTCCACTCCTCCAGTTTAAAAAAGGATTTATATATATATATATATATTTATATATAATTAATAGTTGGTTTTAAGAAAGCATCAAGGCTCATAAAGACAGGAACCAACACAGCTTAGGGTCCTGCCCAGAAAAAAAATCAGATACTTAAGAAGCATCTGTCGAAAAATGTTCATAAAACTAAAATTTCCATATATGAGATTTAAAAGCTTTTTTTTTTTTGTTATGCATTCAAGACCCAGTGTAAAAAAACCCGCAACATTCCTCACCCAAACACACAGCATTCAGCTTAATAGCAAAAAGACTGTTTCTCACAATCAAAACACTTGGGAAGGAGAAAAGGGCCAAAGGGTTTATAAAAATTGCTAAGTCGATAGAAAAAGTTATTATTGCTCAGAAGGTCATCTCTGAGGAGAATCTTACGCACAGGCACAAGAGATGGTTCTGGAGAAGAATCAAGAGGCCAAAAAAAAAAAAAAAAAAGTCAAAATTTGTGGTTTTACACTTCCACCACCACAAAATCTAGTAGACCTCACCTTACAATCAGAACAAAGACCAGGAGACTGTAAAAATCTCGTACAATCAGTTGTCCTCCAAACACCACACTCAGAGGTTTCATCCACTCTATTGGGGGGGGTCTCCAAACTTGGCAACTTTAGGATCTGTGGACTTCAACTCCCAGAATTCCCCATGGATGGATGGAGAATGGTGTCGTCCAGAAAGCTTAAGGTTGCCGAGTTGGAGGTTCCAGCTTTCTGCCTTCTTTTCCCCCATTGCAAAATCCGCCCTGCTTGTCTCCTAGTCCCTGTCCACCAAACCGGCCCCAATGTCCTTCATGGCTCTCAGATGTCATGAAGACCCTCTTCCTCCTCAAATATCTCTTCGGACGTGACCTCTTCCAAACCGTGGCACCTTAGCATCCAAACGGCTCCAAACCAGAGCTCCCAAAATCCCTCAGCAAAGCTGGCTCAGAATTCTGGGTGGTGTGATTCCCCTGTTCTTCAACGGAGGATAGGTTGGAGAAGACCCAACCTCCCTACTCCTTTAGGCAGGGGTCTTCAAACTTGGCCCTTTTATGACTTGTGGACTTCAATTCCCAGAATTCCTCAGCCAGCATGGCTCAGCGTAGAAACCTCTCCCTTTCCCCTCAGCACGCTGGCTGAGGAATTTTGGGAGTTGAAGTCCACAAGTCATAAAAGGGCCACGTTTGAAGACCCCTGCCCTTAGGCCTCTTGCTCTGGATCTTCCCCCCTTCCCAGAGCAGCTGTGAGCATCTCATTTGCATCCACACACACGAATCGTCTTCCTCCTCATCTCCTACATCAACCCGCTCGAGTTGCTGAACGTGGGACGATACGCAACAAGGCAAGGGGTTTCCTGGCAGGAGATACCACAAAGGACGGGCCGAGCCTTAGGAGAAGAGTTTCAGGAAGCAGTTCTGACAGTAAGGCTTGTCGTTCTGCTCTTTGAAGGTTCCCTTGTTGAGTTGCTTGAGGCAGAAGGCACACACGAAGTGTTCCGGGTGAAATTTCTTGGCCATCGCGGTGATGCAGCGGCCTGTGATGGGCTTTTGGCATCCGGAGCAGAGCGAGCCCCGGCGTTCGTGGTAATGCACTTCGCAGTAGGGTTGACCGTCATGTTCGAAGAAGCTGCCGTTGATGAACGGGGTAAAGCATTCCTGCCAGGCAAGGAAAACAATCAGTCCTCGGCTTACAAGCACAGTTGCCGCCCTGAGCGAAGTGGAGCTGCCTTGAGTAGTATATAAAACACATAGAGGGAGATCTTGACTTACAGCTGCAACTGAGCTCAACGTTTGCATTGATAAGCGACACATTTGTTAATAGCAATAGCACTTCAGCTTATATACCGCTTCACAGTGCTTTACAGCCCTATCTAAGCGGTTTATAGAGTCAGCCTCTTGCCCCCTACAATCCGGGTCCTCATTTTACCGACCTCGGAAGAATGGAAAGCTGAGTCAACCTTGAGCCAGTCAGGATCGAACTGCTCGTGGTGGGCAGAGGTAGCCTGCAATACTGCATTCTACTACTGCACCACCACAGCCCTTCCTTCCTTCCTTCCTTCCTTCCTTCCTTCCTTCCTTCCTTCCTTCCTTCCTTCCTTCCTTCCTCCCTCCTTCCCTCCCTCCCTCCCATCCATCATCTTTCTTCCTTCCCTCCCTCCCTCCCATTCATCCTATTTTCTCCTTCCCTTCCTTCCTTCCTTCCTTCCTTCCTTCCTTCCTTCCTTCCTTCCTTCCTTCCTTCCCTCCCTCCCTCCCTCCCTCCCATTCATCCTATTTTCTCCTTTCCTTCCTTCCTTCCTTCCTTCCTTCCTTCCTTCCTTCCTTCCTTCCTTCCTTCCTTCCTTCCTAGAAACCGTTTCCTTAAAAAATGTTGGAAATGTTACGAGGGAAAGAAAGGAATGGCGGGGTGTCCTACCCGGCAAACGAAACACTCGGGATGCCACAGGGTGTTCAAGGCCGAGATATAGTTTTCCAGGATGGCCCGGGCACATCCGCCACATTTGGGAGCGAACATGTCGAAGTAATCTTTGCGGCAATAGGCTTTGCCGTCCTTCTCATGGAAGCCTAGAAGCCACACAGGACAGAAACCTGGTTAATCCGTCAGAAGGGCAAAATAATCTATGGTGTATACACAGTTTAATATAATAACATCAGAGCCGCCATCAAGACGTAAACGACGCCTCAGTGAAAGAGCTGCCAACACGCGAACAGTAAACAGCCCGACCAATATAAACTGAGAGGTAATACAAGTAGAAATCTAAATATTTATAATAATATAATATATACCTATAATATATAAATTTATATAAAATATAATATATAAATAGCCCAATATAAACTGAGAGCAAACATCTTTCCTTTCTAGCACTGATGATGTTACCTAGCTGGGTAATGAAACATCTGCAAGAAAACAACCAAACTCAGAGAACACGATGAACCCACAATCATCATCCTCCTCCTCCTCCCCTTCTCCACAAACCGCCCTCCCTTCTAGCACTGATGATGTTACCTAGTTGGGTCATGAAATGTCTTCAAGAAAACCACCAAGCTCAGAGAGCACCAAGGACCCCGTCTTCGTCCTCCTCCTCCTTCCCACAAACCCCCCTCCCTTCTAGCACTAATGATGTTACCTAGCTGGGTAATGAAACATCTGCAAGCAAACAACCCATCTCAGAGAACCCCATGGACCCACAATCCTCCTCCTCCTTTTCTTCCCTTCAATCCTTGAGGGAAAGTCACACATTTGGGCCATCGGCTACATGCAGACACATGTCAGATCATCCCCAGGAGAGCCCTACCTACCTTCAGGGCCAAAGAACGCCCCACACTGTGCGCAGAAGAAGTGTTCTGGGTGCCATGTTCTGTCCAAGGCCGTCACCACTTTCTGAGAAGAAGGAGAAACCACAAACCATGAAGCAGCCCATCGTTCCCCATCCAACCCGGTCAATATTCAGAGAGGGTGGAATTCCACGGGTATAATTCACTAGTCCAGCCTGATGAACAGTGAGGGGAATTACAAGTCGTCCTTGATTTAGGACCACACAATTGAACCCACCATTTTCTGAGCATAAAGCGAGGCAGATGTGAGGTGAATTTTTTGTCCCATTTTATGACCATTCTTGCCACGGTTGTTAAGTGAATCGCTGCCATTGTTTTAAGTTAGTAAGATGCTTGTTAAGTTAATTTGGCTTCCCTGTTCGACTTGGCTTGTCAGAAGGTGGCAAAAGGGGATCACTTGAACCCAGGCCACGACAGCCGTCGTAAATACGAGTCAATTGCCCAGTATCTGAATTTTGATCCCCTGACCGCGGGGATGCTGCAACGGCCGTAAGTGTGAAAAACGGCCATTAGCCACATTTTTCATGGCCGTAGGAACTGCCAATGGTCCGTAAACGAATTGTTGTGACTAACTGGACATCACCCAGCCTGGTCCATGTTGAGGGATGATGGGAAATTAGGATCTCTGGAGGGGACAGATTAGGAAAAGAACTGAGTTAATAGAAAAGGAAGATTATAAAAAGATTAGGGACTTACATCCAGGATGGGGCCGTTGCAGTAATAACAGCGAGGTGAAAAGAGGTTGTGGTAATCCCTCTCGCAGTAAGGCTGGCTGTCACGCTCAAAGAAATTCCGGGAGCCAATTTCCTCCTGGCAATGGGTGCAAACAAAGTGCTCGGGGTGCCAGGTCTTCCCCATGGCTGTGACAACCTAGGGTGGGAGAAGACAAAGAAGAGTCACCCAGACAGCTTTCAGGCCTACGGTGGAACTAGAATTCATCATCCCCTGGCAATTGGCCCAGAGTCACCCAGCTGGCTTTCATGTCTAACTAGAACTCTCCATCACTTGGTGATTGGCCCATAGTCACCCAGCTGGTTTTCAGGTCTAAGCTGGAACTAGAACTCTCCATCCCCTGGTGATTGGCCCATAGTCACCCAGCTGGCTTTCATGCCCTAAAGCAGGACTACGATTCACAATCTCCTGGTGAGCGATCCAAAGTCATCCAGCTAGCTTTCCTGGCTAAAGTGGAACTAAAACTCACCGTATCCTGGCGATGGGCCCATAGTCACCCATGCCTAAGGCAGGACTAGAACTCACCGACGTCTGGATTCTAGTCCTTCACCACAAGCCCAAATGACAGAGCTGAGACTGAGACTCACCTGCCCAGCAATGGGCTTCTTACAGGCTCCGCACACACCTTTGGCAACTGTTGCCACCCCAAGTTTGTGCAGGTCAGACTGGAGGCTTCCAAGCATGCTGTCCAACTGGCTGCCAGGCTTGGGAGGGGTAGTTGATGGGTAGCTGCCAGCTCCTTTCCCCTGGGACATAAACTAAAAAAAGAGAGCCAAGCAGAGAACGGTGAGATACAAAACACAGCGGTGTCCTTCTAACCGTTGGAACGTCAACAGGCCCTTTTGAATTTCCACACGGGGATTTCTTGGTGCAACTGCAGAAGCTCGTAAAGGATCGCACTTGAGGATAGACAGAAGGGGGGGGTTGTCAAAACCTGTGTCACCATGGTCTCCCTAAGGACCCACACATTTTGCAAGCACAGAGACATTCAGAGCCACTTCCGCACCGCAGCGGTTCCACTCATCCACTCCCCAAAACGCAACACAGCAATTCTGAACGAGGCTGAGACTAGAGAAAAGAACCCTTTTAAACTTTACTGTAAAAAATTTGATTTTTGTAATAAGAGTTGGAATACAGGTAGCCCATTCTAACCCCTGTGCCGTCACGGCTCCTAGTAACTTTCATAGGCTGAGAGTAACTTTTATAGCAATTTATAATTCACTTCTCACAGGGGAGTAGCAACTTTACAGGCTCAGTTGCTGAATGTCTATGGCCTTCTCTTTCTCCAGCCCCAAATCTCTCCACCTCCTCGAGAGGGCCATGCCAACAGACCTGCAAAATTCATGCCAGATTTTTAAAAAGCGGACCACCATTTCTTTTAAGCTTGCAACAAAGCAGACCGGCGAGCCTTAGGAAAACCCAGCAAACTCCGTTTCTACCAGCCACTTGCAAACTCCATGCAGGGTCCACATTTTTGTCAAAGAACTATTTTTCCACTCAACATGCTGACACAGGAATGAAAGCAAAAGTCCTGCCTTCTCAGGAGTAGGTGGGCGAGTAGCAAGGACGGGATCCAAAGGTGAAATAGGAAGGACCTGAAAAGTAGAATTTCAAGAATGAGCTGGGCAGGCTGTAACCGTTTAAAAAGGCTGACGGGACTGTGGAGTTTTAAGAAACTTCTGGATTCCCTGTCTAATTTAAAGATGTATTTTCTCAGTTGTTGACGGAGATGGGCAGCTATTGTGACTGACTGACAGACATGAATGAATGAATGAATGAATGAATGATACTCTCTATATTATGCAACATTTTCATTAGTTCTTGGGCCAACTATTCTGCTCAGGTTACAGGATTCTAGGCTGTGCCCCACCTAACGCATGGAACCTATTTTCTCCTCCTGGAGCTTCAGATTTCAGCCCACAGCCTCCCTCAACAAGACACACTCTGGATGTATCCATTCCAGTTCCTAGCGTTCCTTAGCGCATGATGCCATTGTAGAGGCTTCTGGGAGCTGAAGCCCATACATCTGAAGGACACCAGGTCAGGGAATCCTGGGATTTACCCAGACTTAGTTACGATCGACGAAAACTTTACTTTCATGAAAGTAAAGACATCAAAGACAGATCATGCCTGCTGCGGTGGGGAGAAGGAAGCCTCCTCTGTTTGACAGCTAACCGACACCAAGGTTTTGGAGGAAGGGGCCTCTCCGCTGGGCTGGGCGGGAATCGGTGTCTGCTCGAGGGAAACTTCTTCCAACAGCATTTCCCACGGGACGGGAGGCGGAATCGGGTGGGCGGATGGCACAAAGCGCAGCTGAGGGATATGTGGCGATGCGGGCAAGGCCAGGGGAGGTGGTGGTGGAGGAGGAGGAGCAGATGAGAGAGAAGAGCCCAGAGTGGCTTTGACAGGAGCGGCCTGGGAGACATCTTTTGGAAGCTGCGGTGGAGGAGAAGGTGGGACAGAGACGGTTCTTCTCAGAGGAAGGGGTGACATAGCAGGAATGATCACCTGAGGAAAAAAAGCAGGAAGAAACATGAACAGTTCAAAGACAGAAAGACTTGGAGGCACCAGAAGAAGATCATGGAGGTCAACCTTCTCCAACCCGGGCACTTCTCAAAGGGTGGAGGTCAACTCCAGAAGTCTCACCAATGGACATGCAGGCTGGGGGAGTCTGAGAGTTGAGATCTACCCTTTTTGGAAAGCGAAGGGTTGGAGAAACGTAACCGTATCCCTACCTCACCTTCCTGAAGAACACAAAGCTTCCATCGGAACACAACAATAGCAAAAAGAGAATAACAACAAGAGGCACTTCCAAGTAGAAGCAGAAAGCCTGCATCTTTGTAGGCTTTCATCTGTTGAGTTCCTTCTGCCCCCAACTGGATGGAAGGGGCTTCAAAAGCCATCTAAGGATGCTAAGCATTCCATCTGTGAAAACGGGGATCCAAGGTCTTGTTTGGGAAAATCCAGGAGGCCTCCCTCTACAACTTCCAATTTCTAAGGAACTGGCCCATGACTGGCCCATTGGGAACCCCAAACCAATCAGAGATGAAAACAGTGCAGAGGAGTATGGATTTTGAGCCAACTAACTAGGCCACAGTGTAGTGAACTTCAACTGATGGGAATTAGCGGTTCGAGAGCAGAATGAATGTTCCCCGTCTCTCTTACTTCCCAGTAATCAACCAGGAAAACAAGCTTATCTTGAATCTGCTTTTCTGGGCTCCAGCAGGATATTAAGGCCCATAAAAAAAATAATAACAAGAGTTGGAAGGGACCTTGGAAGTCTTCCAGTCCGACCCCCTCTCAAGCAGGAAATCCTAAACCATTTCAGACCAATCTCTTCTTTAAAAACCTCCAGTAATGGAGCACCCACAACTTCTGGAGGCAAGCCGTTCCACCGGTTAATTGTTCTGTCAGGAAATTCCTCCTTAGTTCTAGGTTGGTTCTCTCCTTGCTTCCATCCGTTGCTTCTTGTCCTGCCTTCTGGTGCTTTGAAGAATAACTATATATTCTCCAAATAAACTTCGGAGAATAGGCCCACAATTTATAAGGGAGGGATGCCTTTTTCTGACCTGCAATCAAGGAAGCATCTGCTTTTCTCTCAATTCAGAAGCTGCCTCACAACGTTCCTTTGCTCTATCTTGACCCTCAAGGGAAGGACCTCTGCTCTCTGCCCATTCCTAATGTTCAAATCGGCCGGCAAGACTCTTAATAGGCAAAACACGAAGGTGAAGCTTAAGAAATGATCTTGGTTTCATCTGCTGTAGGCCTAATCAGGAAGAGAGGAGATCCATCTGCCACCAGCCATGGAAATGCTCTCTCTGGACTTATCAAGAGATACTCTGCAACCAACACTCCACACCTATTTTCCTCCTATCAACTGGAAGACTCCTTCAGAGGTCCCCGGCTACCTTTTCAATTTGTTGACTACCATCCTTCTCCTTCTTTTGAGGCCTGGAGGTGATGACGACCCCCTCGGTCAACCAGTCGTCGGGCCTTCGTTGCCAATCTTCCTCTTCGACTTTGCTGATGCCCAACCTGTCCTGAAGTTCCTCGATCAGGCGGTCTTGGGAGACGCTTTTGTGGAAAATGACCGGGCCCAGCTTGCGTCTCGGCGAGAGATCGCGGCACATGGGGTGCACGTTGGAGATCTCTCTGGTTTTCCTGATCACCGATTGGATCTTAAGGGGAGGAAAACGTTCGGGTTGAGCGAGCTTCCCCTTGAACTGGACGGCACAGGATGCAAGGCCTTCACGTTCGCCAGGGTTAGTGGTCACAAGCCGGGAAAGCAGGAATGACCTCCTTCCTCAACGGGAGGACAGTCTTTTTGGCACGGCCATCAGCAGCCAATCCATCGTTAGGAAAGCTCTCCAACTGCAACCACCTCATCCAAACGTGAAGGTGAGGGGTCCTGGGTACCCTCTGAGCTTGTCTTCTTGCAGACATTTCATTACCCAAGTAGGTAGCAACATCAGTGCTAGTAAGGAGTGGGGTTTGCTCTCCATTTATATTCTGGTGGCTTGCCTGTCAGTGTTCTTAGAGATTCTTTGGCTGTGGTGAAGACCACTGCCACCAACACTGACGTGAAGCCACTAGAATGTAAACTGAGAATAAACATCACTTCTCACTAGCATCGATGGTATTACCTAGTTGGACAATGAAATGTCTGCAAGAAAACAAGCAAGTTCAGAGAGCAGCCAGGACCCCACAATCCTCCTCCTTTCTGCAAATCCCATCCCCTTCTAGCACTGACAATGTTACCTAGCTGGATAATGAAATGTCTGCAAGAAAACAAGCAAGCTCAGAGAGCACCAGGGATCTCTCATGTCAACCCTGAGCTACAAATATTCTCCTTTATTAAACGTGAAAATTCAGCTCCTTTGGCCAAGTGGAGCAGCCGAGACTTGGTGAGGGGTTTAGAATGACTCCTAAAACCACCAAAATCAATTGAGAAGTTGGACACTCCTCGTTTACAGCCCTAGGCCTAAGGCACAGACATTTCCCGTGGTTTGATCTTAGGCAGGCGACGTCTTTCTGCCACAATCCACAACTGCGTTTCTCAACCTACGCAACTTTTAAGACGCATGGGTGGAGAATTGAAGCCTTTGAAGTCCCTATCTCTTAAAAGGGGTTGAGAAATCCTGGTGTACAGAAGGTGATTCCTATCTGGAGGTGAGCCCTATCCTTATCATCTAAGGCGGCTCCATTTCTCTCCAACAAGAGCATCCCAAGGGAGCATTATCTCTTTCTCTGCTCAGCAGAGAGCCCAGCGAAAACCCAAAACATTTTAAGAGCAACCCCAAACACTGTCCTACACCACAGGCTGGTTGTATCTATCTAGGAGAAGCATGCAGACTTCCTAAATCCAGGGGCAAACTCCAAAGCACGTTTCATGCGCAGCCCAATGAGCAGCAGCATGGAGACATTCCATCCATCGGGAGACACCAGTTCACTCATCCCTCCCCATTCATTCTTAGGCCTGCCTGGCTCGAAGTGGATATCCTCTCCTCCACAGGGACCGCAGGACCAGCGATACGGTCCAGTTCCTCTTCCCAGACATGTCCTGCAGCCTTTGGAGTAGCCGCGACCCCATTCGGAAGGCTGTTCTTTCTGGATCCCCTCTCGGCAACATTAGGACAGCTGTTTGCCCTCACTGGATCTTGAATTTCGGCCCTCTGGTTTGAGGCCTGCTGCAGCGCAGCCCAGCCTGGCTGACTTTTGGTGCCTGGGAAACTCTCCCATCTTTCTACGTTAAAAAGGTCGGGTGGCCCAACCTGGTCCTTCTTGACAGACGTTCTTGGGGCCAACAGTGATGTTTCTGAATGACTTTGCCTGGTGTAACCAATTGTCCTCATTCCATTCTCCTTGAGGAAAGGAGCTTTGCGGTAGAAGGGAACCCTCTCTTCCTGTTCTTGGGCGGCTGACATCTTCAAAAGCCTGCTCGAAACCGAAGGAATGTCATCCTTGACTTCACGGTTGAGGTTCTCCTTCCAAAGTCCTTCTGGTTTCCTGGGTTTTTGACTCAGAGTTCCTGCGCCATCCGCAAAAATAAATAATGACTCAGGCTCCGAAGAAGAGACGCGGGTCTTCTCAAGGCTGGTTTTGCTGGGCCCATCTGAACTTGGGAGAGGGGCAGACGCTTTACCAAGGGGGGGTTTCGTCCAAGCTCTGGCAGGGTGACGATGCAATGTGGTGGAAGAAGGTTCTGGAATCGCGGCCACCGCTACACCGCTGCTTTTCTCATCAATGTGAAGGACCTTCAACTCAAGAGGGACCTCAGAGTCCAGGTCACACCCATCATGTTTGGCCCTGTGTGGTTTTGAGGCCAGCGGAGGGACCGTGTGGGATGGAGCTGGGCCAGGTGGTCCAGAAGAGTGCTGCAAGGAAGGCGCAGAGACTAGAGATATGGTGGAACTGGTCTGAAAGAGAAAGGAAGATGGGAAGAAGGAAGGGGGAGAGAGAGAGAGAGAGAGAGAGAGAGAGGAAGACGGGAGAAAAGATGGAAACAGGATTGAAGGAAGAAGGAAAAAAAGCAGAAAGCGACAGAAAAATAAAGAGGGGCCCACATTAAACCCACTCGAGTTAATTAAAGGCAAAGGAGACCCAGGGAAAAAGGATATTAAAAAAAAAAAATCTAATAATCCCTGGTAGCAGCCTAATCACAAAACAGGTTGTCTTCTCCTTCTTATGGACTAAAGATCACAGGTCTCCAAAACTGGCATTGAGGACTTGTGGACCAACTTCCAGAATCCCTCAGCTTGGCTGGGGAATTCTGGGAGTTGAAGTCCACAAGTCTTAAAGTTGCCAAAATCTGGAGATCCCTGGATCAGATTATGCCAAAATAGACCTCTAACGAAGGGGTCCCCGACCCCCGGTCCATGGACCAGTACCGGGCCACGGCATGCCAGCAACTGGTCTGCACAAACAAGTAAAGCCCCGTCCGCAGGATGCAGGCAGCACACACAACCACACACCCTCCAGTCCACAGAAAAACCTCTCTCCATGGAAGTGGTCCCTGGTGCCCAAAATGTTGGGGACCTCTGCTTTAACTTGCAAGGCATGAGCTTCTTCCAAAGAAGAAGAGTTGCAAATGCAGAGTGTAAGTTCACATAGAACTTGGCTCAATTCAGCAGCCAAAGATGGTGCTCCCTACTGGTATTGATGATGTTACCTAGTTGGGTCATGAAATGTCCGCAAGAAAACAGCCACGTTCAGAGAGTACCAACGATTCCTCAGTCCTCCTTCTTCTTCTCCTCCTCCTCCTCTTCCTCCTCCTCCACCACCACCAGCAGCAGCACCACCCCACAAACCCCACTCCCTTCTAGCACTGATGATGTTACCCAGTTGGGTAATGAAACATCTGCAAGAAAACCACCAAGCTCAGAGAGCACCAAGGACCCCACAGTCGTCGTCGTCCTCCTCCTCCTCCTCCTCCTCCTCCTCCTCCTCCTTCCCACAAACCCCACTCCCTTCTAGCACTGATGATGTCACCTAGTTGGGCAATGAAACATCTGCAAGAAAACCAGCCAAACTCCGAGAGTACCAGGGGCCCCACATAACCCAAGACATCTCGGTTGATGCCAATTTGTGAACAAGGGGTTAAGGGTGAAGATGTGCCAAGACAATCATCCCTAAGCCAGAAAAGGAAGGGGGACAAATGATAACAAGGGGGCACCTTGAAGTCTGAAAGGGAAGCCATGAGCTCATCCAGTTCTCTGGTTGCTGAAGAGGCAGAGATGCGGGTCTGTTGCTGGCTGGAGACGAACCTCTGGGGACTGTTCATCTCTCCCTGATTCACAGTAATAGCTGGTCTAATGGAGGCAAAGAAGACAGAAGGGGTCATCTGAGACGGGCTTCCAGGAACAGGGAGAAAGACCCCTGCCCCCCATCCCAGCCCCCTGTGGCCTTAGCCTTTCCAGATCGAGCATACAGGTCCAACCCACAGCCCATAGGCAGCTAGGAATACGACCCTCACAAGAAAGTAAGAAATATTAAAAATTAAAGGTAATTTATTGTTTTTGTACATTAACTATATTAACTTCATTAACTAGATTACAGGTAGTTCTCCACTTAGAACCATTCCTTCGGGAACTCTGGGAGTTGAAATCCACCCATCTTAAAGCGTGTGGCTAGGGAATTCTGGGCGTTGAAGTCCACCCATTTAAAACATCCTGGACAGGGAACTCTGGGACTTGAAGTCCACCCATCTTAAAATGTGTGGCCAGGACATTCTGGGAGCGGAAGTTCATCCATCTTAAAGCATGCTGACGGGGGAATTCTGGGGCTTGTCCACCCATCTTAGAGCTGCCAAGGTTGACTCCATGGGAGACACCATGAATTCCACTCTCTCTCCAGAAACCACCACAGCCTAGCCGGAGGGACAGCAATCCGGTGGCTACTCACACTGGGCTGGGCACGGAGCTCTCCAGTTCATCCAGAAGGCTCTCCACGCTGGGGCACACTTCTTCCACCCCGGGCCCTCCGTTCCACTTGGGCTTTTCCTTCGCCGGAGCCGTCGGCTGTGCGGTCAAAGAGGTAGTGTTCTCCAGGAGGCTGTAGTGAGAGCCGGTCCCACCAGACTGCGAGGGGCTTCCCGGGGTCTCATCTAACCAGTGAAAAAACACAGACAGGACTTGGAAGCGCGTTTCCCCATCCAAAAGGCAGCCAGGTGACTCACTTAACAACAGAAAGGTTGTAAAATGAGGCAAAACTCACTTAATTTCTCACTTCTCACATTTTGGAGTCTGTCGTGATCGTAGGTTGAGGACTATCCTGTGTGGCCATTCCAGGTTCCGGTTGTGCTGCCGCTCTCCTCCTCTCCCCTTTGCTCTCACCCCCCTTCCTCCCCAGCCCCCCATCGGTCCTAGAGCCCGGCCCCCCACATACCTGTGGGACTGCCAGGTGGGGGGTTGTGTTGGACAGCGTTCAATTCCAGGAGGAGCCGGTCCAGTTCTGACAGGTTATTGCCTAAGGAGGAGCTCATCAGGGTGGGAGACGGTTCCGCAGACTTCTGTTTATTGGGGAAACTGGAATTTGGGGATAAACACAGGGTCAGTTTGAAGGGACTCCTAAGCAGCAGTGCTCTGATCAAACAGGTTCCCTTCCTTCCTTCCTTCCTTCCTTCCTTCCTTCCTTCCTTCCTTCCTTCCTTCCTTCCTTCCTTCCTTCCCTCCTTCCACCCTTCCTGTCTTATTCCTTTTCCCTCCCTCCTTTCCTTCCTCTTTCCTTCGTTCCTCCTTCCCTTCTTCCCCCTTCCTCTTACTCCTTTTCCCTCTCTCCTTTCCTTCCTCTTTCTTTTCCTTCCTCCTTCCTCCCTCCCTCCACCCTTCCTGTGTTTTACTCCTTTTCCCTCTCTCTCGTTTTCCTTCCTTCCTTCTTCCCTCCTTCCACCCTTCCACTCTTCCTATTCTTCCTTTTCCCTCCCTCCTTTCCTTCCTGTCTCTTTGTTTTCCTTCCTTCCTCCTTCCCTCCCTCCCTTCCTGTCTTGCTCTCTTTGCCTCCCCTCCCTCTCCCTTTCTCTCTCCCTTTATTTTCCATCCCTCCCTATTTCTCCCTTCCCTTCCTTCCTTCTTCCCGTCCCTTCCCTTTCTTTATTTTTACATGTTTGTTTTTCACATAGGAACCACAAGAGCGATGCACGTGGGAAAAGTTGGCAAAGGCACAGCGGTAATAGAAGAAGCTGCCTTATGCTGGCTTGGCTGCATGTTGCAATAAGCTGTGGTTTGTTTACCCAGGACACTTGGCTGGATGCCTAGAACATGCTAACGCCAATCTAAACAATTGGTGTGAGTTACAATCACCGCCCCCGAATCAACCTCTCCTCTTCAGTATGACCACAGGGGCATTTCCCAGCCCCATCCGACACCCGGGGGCTGAACTAGCTAGATGATACAAGGAACAATGGATGGGAAGTGATCCAGGAGAGATTCAGCCTAGAAAGGAGGAGAAACTTCCTGACAGTGAGGATAATTAACCAGTGGAACGGCCTGCCTCCAGACGTTGTGGGTGCTTAATCACTGAAGGTTTTTAAGAAGAGACTGGGAGGCCATTTGTCCAGAAACAGTCTAGGGCAGTAGTTCTCAACCTTTCTAATGCCGCGACCCCATAATACAGTCCCCCATGTTGTGGTGACCCCCAACTACTTATACATCACCGGGTGCCAGGGGCGTGGCCAAAGAAAAGGGGGAAAAATGGCAGACAGCCTTGTTTGGCGACCCCCGTGAAATGGTCGTTCGACCCCAAATGGGGTCCCGACCCACAGGTTGAGAACCACTGGTCTAGGGTCTCCTGCTTGAGCAGGCAGCTGGGCTAGATGACCCCCAAGGTCCCTTCCAACTCTGTTATTGTAATCAAGGTGGGGGAAATAGAATACCTGTAGACGTGTTCCTCGTCACTGGCCCGCGAAGGAGAGATGGCGCACTCTCTGGACACAGAGGCACTGGAACTATACACAGGAGACTGAGACGGCGGCTGCAAAAAGGAATTGGACATTTTATTGAAACACAAGTTAGGATCGCCAGCTCTGTCGATCAACATTTCTACTAGAACAGTGGTTCTCAACCTTTTTAATGCCGCGACCCCCAACTGGTGTAAGTCAAGGACTACTCAACTGGTGCAGCACCGTTTGCAGAATGGGACTTTTGGCGGGCTCAGCAGGGCAGAGGCAGCCTGGACAATTCCTATTGGCTTTTGAAAGCCAATAGAATTAGACTCTATTCAAGAGAGTCTCTTCCATTGGCTTTCAAAAGCCAATAGAATCAAAGGGAGTAGCACAGCTAAGGAAAAGGGGGGACAAAATGGCGGACTGCGTTGTTTGGCGACCCCCGTGAAATGGTCGTTCGACCCCAAATGGGGTCCCGACCCACAGGTTGAGAACCACTGTACTAGAACATCCGACTCACCCTGGTCTAGAAAAGACAGCTGTGGGAGCTACCCAGGCGGTCCTTGACCTACGTCCACAACTGAACCCCAAACTTTAAATTTAAAATTAAAAAAAAAAAAATTAAACACACACACACACACACACACAAAAGAAAAAACTTTTGAATGGCCAGCGATAAAATAGGAACAGTTCTGTGCTGGATCAGGAAATGCTCTCTGTGAAGAGAGGAGTCAGCATTTAAATCCCCACCGGATATCAGACACAATGAGCTCCTCACAGCTAACACAACACAACTCCACTCCACAAAGCTACAGCCAAAAGCAGGTTTCTTCCGATGAAGTCAAGGAAGCAGCAAATCTTTAACGCCACTTCCAGCTGCCAAGGAACCACCAAAGGGAAGACTTGGAAAACTTATTGGAAATCTCTACAGATAATTCTCAAGTCACAGCCACTTGTATAGTGACCCTTTGAAGTTAGAACGGCACTGAAAAAAGTGACTGATGTCTGGGTTTCATACTTAGGACCGTATGCAGCGTCCCCAGGGTCACGTGATCAAAATTCGGACGCTTGGCAACTGACTCGTATTGATGACGGTTGCAGTAGGGTCCCGGGGTCTCCACGTGATCCCCTTTTGCAACCTTCTGACAGGCAACGTCAACAGGGAAGCCCACTTCACTTCACAACTGTGTAGGTGAGAACTGGTGAGAAAGGTCGTAAGAGCAGAGCTCACGACAAACGTCTCGCTTAACGACAAGAGATCCGGGACTCAATCGTCGGCATAAGTGGAGGACTGCCTGTATTCTAGGTTCTAAGTCTGGCTGTGGTGAAGGAGAAGCCGAGCTGCTGAAATCAGTAATATGAGTCAGCATCATCTCTGTGAGCAATAATTAAGCTCTTTTATGCAAAACGGCCACGAAGGAGCCACTGAGTTAACAACATTAGTGCGATGATGTTGTAAGAAGAGATGCTTTTCAAGGGACTCGTGAGGAGAGTGGTTTTAGAGAGAGGGCAGGAATTAAATTAGCCTTACATTCTATTTGGAAGCGGCAAAAGGGTGTCTCTAACTTATTACTGACGGATTTGTTTTTACCTTGGCTACGGTCCTTGAGTTATGACTCTAATGGAACCAGTCCATTATGGTCTTACGTCGTGACAGTTGCAAAGCACAACTGCTGACCCGATTTTATGACCTTTTTTGCATTGGTGGTAAAGTGAACCCAGTCGTTTCCGACTCTAGGAGCCGGTATTCATCTCTGTTTCTTAACCAAGGGAGCATTGTCTGAAGACACTTCTGTGGCCACGTGGCCAGCATGACTATACACCAAGAGCCACGGAATGCTATTGCCTTCGCACCGAAGTGGTACCTAGTTATCTACCTGCATTTTCAGGCCTTCGAACTGCTCAGTGGGCAAGAGCTGGAGCAAGGAACGAGAGCTCACCCCATCGTGCGGCGCTGGGTCTCAAATCTGGACTGTCAGCTTTTTAGCTGACAAGCTCAGCATCTTTAATCCCTGAGCTACACAGTAATAATAATCAATAACGTTTATTTTGTCAGCAAAATTTAGAAGGACACAATCAAGGCGAGGCAGATAAAAACAATAATATAGCTTTAGCTTTTAGTTTTGTTTTTGATCCTACCGTCATTATTTTTATAAATAACTCAAGGTAGCGAACGTATCTAACACTCCTTCCTGCACCTATAGTAACTACTAGCTGAATAAATCACAAGGTCTAACTTTGACTCCTCTGTAACTGTGTCGGTACAGTTGTTACTCGAGCGATCAACCTAAAACATGAATAGGAACAAAATTATAAAACTAAAAACAACATATTCCCCTAAAATTGATAGCTAGGATGCCTCAAACCAAGTCGTATTTTAAAACAAAAGTAAATATGTCTTTGGCCAATGTAGCTGCTTTTCCTGTTGTACAGCTACACAACATTTAACTACTGCGCAGGTAATGAACGGTTTTAACTTCTGAAGGAGGAAATTCATGTAAAAGTGATCTGGCCTCCCCAGAAAGAAATTTATGTCGACTGAGCTATAAAATTTACAGTCATAATACGTGTGAAAAAGTTTGAACTTCTGGTCAAATGCATTTCAGACCCAGGAATTTTGCCATAGAGCTAGTCCTCAGCTTATGACCATAATTAAGCGCAACATTTCTGCTGCTAAGCAAGGAAGCTGTGAAACGAATCACGCCTTGTTTTACAACCATTCTCGCCACCGTTCAGCAAACCGCTGAATGTTGTTAAACGAATAGGGTGGCCGTTAAGCGAATCCGGTTCTTCGTAACTGACTTTTCTTATTGGAAGTCCCAGGGACTTGGCCACTGTCATAAAGATAGGCCAGTGGCCAAACCCCCAGATTTTGAACACGTGACCCTGGGCATGCTGTAACGGTTGTAAATACGAGGACCATTTTTTTTCAGAGCCGTTGTGATTTCAAACAGTCACTAAATGAATCCTTGTAAGGTGAGGTCTTCTCTGCACTTCTCTCAAAGTACAAGAGGAAGAGCGTTAAAGCTAGATGGAAGGAAGGCGATTCTCGGGGTAAGGAAAGTTAAGATTTAGTAAATAAAATACCTGCTGGTGGGGGTTTCTCGGAAGGACGGGGTGCCATTGCTCCAAAGAGATGCTCACCGTCCCGTTCAAGGCCTCGGTGGAAGGAGGAGGAGGCACCGGTGGTGGCAGAGACACTTCTTGGTAGGTGTGATTTCCAGTTGGATAAGAATACGAGGTTTCCTCCGACAGAAACACCGGCCGTTTGGAGATATGGGAGGTCGTGGATTCCAGATCCGCCAGCAAGGCATCTGCACAAAAGCCACAAGCAAAAGGAGATTGGTCGGGTTGACGTCACCAGAATTACTTCTTCGCTGGCAGAAACCTCCCCCTTAACAAAGTTTCCAGTTCAAGCATTCGCTAGGCGTGGGATCCCGAGGAAGCCCCTGCTTTGATCCATAATTAAAAGTTCTTCTTTCTTTGTAGAACACAAGTAGATCAAAAGGCCGAGCCCGACTGCCCCCCAAAAAGAAAAGAAAATGCTTTGAACACTGAAAAATAAAAGCGGGGAGAGGTGTGACGCCTCAGCGCTTGCAGCAGCCCTGCTCAAGAGGAACCAAGAGAGGCCCAGATGACTTAAAGTCTGAGAGCAGCTAATTACTAGTTTTGGCCCCGTGAACGTGGCCACAAGCAAGCCTCGGGGCCAAACAGAGATCTCTGAATCAGCCAGAAACCTAGGAAGAGTCATCGGTGTGAAAAGATGGGTCTCTTCCATCTGCTTTCCAGATGCAGAGGGTTAACGTGGGCTGCAGGTAACTGCAATCTCTTTTCTTAAACATGTTGGGTCAGATTGCAAATTCCTAAGGAAAGAATTAAGTCTCTTCTTAAATAAGTCGAACGTGGCTACCTTAGAAAAAGGCAAGAAGGAAAAGTGGAACGTGGAGGGGCAGGGCTTTCAATCTGTAATTTTCCAGCCTTCTTCCATAAAAAATACTAGAAGTAACGGGTGGGAACTCACCAAGGAGAGAAGCAACCTAGAACTAAGGAGAAACTTCCTGACAGTGAGAACAATTAACCAGTGGAACAACCTGCCTCCAGAAGCGGTGAATGCTCCAACACTGGAAGTTTTTAAGAAGAGACTGGACAGCCATTTGTCCGAAATGGTACAGGATGTCCTGCCTGAGCAGGGGGTTGGACTAGATGACCTCCAAGATCCCTTCCAACTTTATTATTATTATTATTAAAATAGGCAGAAGAAACCCAGTGCCAAGATTGGCCAACTTGGTCTTCGACAGAAAAAGGCAGACCAATATGTGGGGTCTTTGGTGTTCTCTGAGCTTGGTGGTTTGCTTGCAGATGTTTTATTACCCAACTAGCTAACATCATCAGTGCTGGAAGGGAAGGGAATATGGAATATGCCAGATATAGTTGTCATAATGCGACCAACTTCAATTTGGGGTGCCCTCCGGATAACATACTCAACCCTCCAACACACACGAGATTCTTCAAGGGAATGAAATTTTAGGTGACTTTTAATTGACGTGGTTTTGCATTAGAAAAGAGTTAAACAGAGCATGGGGAAAAAAAATCTGTCTACATGTTGTGAAATTAAAAAGTTTTCAGCATGTTAGCTGCATTTGTAGATTAGAGCTGGAAAACTCCAAGCGTTTAGCTGCACGTGACTGTCTCTCACCGTGGATTATTTCCATACAGGAAACTGCGTGTCTCCAGCAAGGATATCCGTGCATGTAATACACACACACACACAAACACACACACACACACACTGCTGGGCATGGCCATTGTATTCCTCCAGCTTCTCGAAAGAGAAGCAAAATGTTTTTTCAAGGAAAAAACAAGAAAAAGAAAGTCCAGTTGCCTTTTGGAAAAAAGCACCCTTGGCACAACTATGATCTGGATGATGATTGAGAATCATCTACTTCCAGATGTGTTGCAACTTCTACACACCATCCTTGCAGAGAAGGATGGCAGGGGAAGCTGTGCATTTGTATGTATTTGTGTGTGTGTGTTTGTGTGTATCCAGGAGGGGGAACACTGGTGTAGATCCCTTTAAAGCTTTCTTTTTTTCCCCTTTACCCAACACTTTCCCCTTCCCTTTTTCCTCCCCTATTTTCCTACTATTTCCTTTTGTATTTTTGAATTATATATTATAAACGAATAAATGAATAGATATTGAAGAGGGGGAAAAGAGACCACGTGAGTTTGGAGTACAGGCAACAAACACACATGCAGACACAAAGGGGCAGGTCTCAACCCTGGTGTAACCTTCCTCTACATCTTTTCTCCCTGCCTGAACAAATGAAACTGCTGGAAAAACGAGAGATTCTGTCTTCTGGCTCTCTCAACAAGCCCTCCAGGGCAAGAAACACTACTAGCTGGTTCCCTGCCAGCTGCCTCCAGGGAAGAAAATAGTAAGCAGCCCTTTTAAATATACAATATTCGGAAACAACGCAGCTTGCAAGACAGAGGTGCCCGCAGGCAGGGGATTAAATTAGATCCCTAATTGCCCTCACTAATTAAGGAGACTCAAAGGATGCCCTGAGTCATAGCATGCAAATATAGGTTGTCCTTGACTTAGGACCACCATGGTCCTTTTTGTGGCTGCTGAGAGAGACCGTGTTTCAGTGAGTTTTGCCCCGTTTTGCCCCATCTTTCTTGCCACGATTCTTAAGTGAATTCACTGCAGTTGTTAAGTTAAGAACACAGTTGTTGAGTGAATCTGGCTTCCCCAGTGATTTTGCTTGTCAGAAGGTCACAAAAGGGGATGCTTGTGTGAGCCCGGGACAGTCCGAGGAGGGAGGAGGAGGACTGTGGGGTCTTGGGTGCTCTCTGAGCTGGGTGGTTTTCTTGCAGACGTTTCATTAGCCTACTAGGTAACATCATCAGTGCTAGAAGTAAGTGGGGTTTGCAGGAAGGAGGAGAAGGAGAAGGAGGAAGGAAGAAGGAGAAGGAAGGAAGAGAAGGAAGAAGAAGGAGGAGGAGGAGGAGGAGGAGGAGGAGGAGGAGGAGGAGGAGGAGGAGAAGGAGAAGGAGAAGAAGAAGAAGAAGAAGAAGAAGAAGAAGAAGAAGAAGAAGAAGAAGAAGAAGAAGAAGAAGAAGAAGAAGAAGAAGAAGAAGAAGAAGAAGAAGAAGAAGAAGAAGAAGAAGAAGAAGAAGAAGAAGAAGAAGAGAGGAGGAGGAGGAGGAGGTGGTGGAGGAAAAGGACTGTGGGGTCCTTGGTGCTCTCTGTGCTTGGTAGTTTTCTTGCAGACGTTTCATTAACCTACTAAGTAACATCATCAGAAGGGAGTGGAATTTGTGGACAGGAGGAGGAAGAGGAGGGGGTAGAAGGAGGAGGAATGGCTGCTCTCTTAAGTCCTGCATTCTTTGATTGAGAGTCAATGTTTAAACAGACTTTATGAGTCACCCTTGAACAGGGTAGGTGTGTCCAAAATACTTCCCAACAGGCAATGATTATTCATGCTTTTTCTCTCTTGTACACACACACACACACACACACACACACACACACACACACCTAGCCTCATTCCACTAAAACTACAAGTTCTCCACCGCAAAACAGGCCAGGAAAAGCAGAATCAACAGAATTTCCGATTTGAAAGGGACCTGAGAGGTCTTCTAGCCCAACCCCCTGTCCAAGCACGAGATGGCCAATGGAAAGCCAGGCACCCATTTCCTCAGCAGGAAGTTGCTGATGTTGGGGATCGAAAGCACTCGGTCCCATTCCTTTCTTAGCTCAATCGAAGAGATTCTGGTTCCGGCACCGATCGTCAATATCAGAGTGGTCAGGATGCTCTTTCAAAATCAATTATCTCCCATATTACTTTTCTAGGAATTAGCTGAGGTTTCATGAGGACTGGCATCTAATATTAGACGAAGCTCTTGCTAAGGATGACTTCAGACTGGATGTCATTCAGGATGGAGTGCTTGGACGTTTACAATATCAAGATGTGCTTCCAGGACAGGTAAGTCCTTGACTTACGGCAGTCCATTTAGCGACCGTTCAAAGTTACAACAGCTCTGGAAAAAAGGGACTCAGGACCGCTTTTCACACCGACAACCGTCGTAGCACCCCCCCTCCCATGGTCATGTGATCAAAAATTCAGGTGCTTGGCCACTGACTCACATTTATGATCGTTGTAGTGTCCCGGGGGTCATATAATTGGTCATCTTTTGAGACCGTCTGACAAAGTCAGATTCACTTCACAAACGGTGTCGCTAATTTAACAACAACCGCAGCGATGTCCTCAAGAACTGTGGCAAGGAAAGGCGTCAAATGGAGCAAATTTCACTCAACAAAATGCAATAATAATAATAAATACATAAAATACATAAATCCTAAATAAGCCAGGATCCAAATCTCCATTTCTTAAGCCTTAATTTATCTGTACCTGCAGGCTGCTAATCTTTGAACCCAGGGTGACCCAAACTCCTTTGGAATCACCGATCCAGACTTCGCCATCCTGTTAAGCTGTATTACTCATCTCCTGAAGCAAAACCCTTCTGGTACGGCATTTTGATCCGATTGCACAATGGAAAGATTGTAACACTGCCCTGAACCTCTCCTACATACAACATACCTACATGCACATGTGGGGGACTGTGATGGGGTTACAGTTAAGGAAGGTATAAACAAGGAGACGGAAAGCTTTACATCTGGTATCCACAGGGGTGTAGTGTGCAAAATATACCTTCCTAATGTGTTAAAAGACGGGCACCATTGGCTAAAGTGTGTTGGCTGGGGGAGCCTAGAAGGAGGACGTTTTGGGGGTGACACCCGCCCTTTGGAACAAAATCAGACTGGCCCTTCTCCGTTGGCTTGGCAAACTTGGTTTTAGATCTGAATCTGGAGCCCTAGGTGTGGGGGGAGAGCTTGTCTTCTAGTTGTGTGGATAAACAACCCAAGACTTTCCTTACGTGCTTTTGCAAAAGGTGAGAAAGGACTGCCCGAGGAATGAAATTTACAGTGGGGGAAGTAAGAGGAATGGCATTTTGGTAAGCAGACAAAAGACTTGGTGTTGTCAGCCAGTGGAGTGTGTAGGAGACGAACAATTCCTTCCTTATGCTGGCAGAGCCGGGGCACTTTGGTGTGGGCTCTTGTGAAGTTTCTCCAGTGTGTTTGTGTCTTCCCAACAAGGACAAATCAAGGCCTAGCTACTCTGGGGCCAGAATTTAGATGCAGAATTAAGTAATATGCCTTGACTTGTTCAGCAAACATTAACTGGGTGTTAATCATCATCTAGATCAGGTTTTCTCAATCTGGACCACTTTCAGGTGTATTGATTCCAAG